GTATGTATCTGAAAGAAGCTATGAGCAGTAGAGTAATCAGCTCCCGGAGGGTGCCTTTTTTTGGGAGGTGGGTGGTCTGGGGACTGAACCCACGACCTTTGTACAGAGCTACATCCTCAGACCTTTTTTTCGGAGAGTTTCTCCTTTAGAGAGTTATCTCACTAAATCAATAAATTGCCCAGGCTCAGTTGTGAGCCTGCCCTAACCTCCTGGCTAGAGACACTTCTTAAAATGGAGGCGGGGCAGCGGCACATGCCTGGAATCCCTGCTACTTGGGAGGCTGAGGTGGGAGGAACACAAGTTTGAGGCTAGCCTGGACAATTCAGTAAGACCCTGGCCCCACCCTCCCCTGAAAATATAAGCAAACACCTCAAGGTGCTGGAAGTCAGAGTAAGCAGAGTGGATTTCCATAAGAAGATACAGCCTCAGGTCCCTGAGCTATGAAAAATCACACAACAAGCAAGTTTCCAATCTTAACAGAAAACAGCCTCTGGAAATAGCCAAGTCTATTTCCCTTCGCTTGTTAAGCAGCCACCAGAAAAGAAACAAACAAGCAAACAAACAAAAAAACCTGGAGAGCACCAATAGAGAAATGAGAGCGATCACCTCCATTTCATACATCGGGGGCCCCAGGATGTCTTTCAGAGCATGGGAATCAATTAAAATTGGCATCTCAGGTGGCAGTGCCAAGTCGGTGGTATCACTGATAGACTCGGGTTTGGTGTCTTCTGAGATGTGTTCTCCGCAACCTAAGAGAGAAAAAATATTATTCAGATACTATACTTGATTTTAGCCAAAAGGCTGAGACAATGAAAAATATTATCCAGAAATTCTAATACCAAACGGAAGCAGAGGGGACTGCAATGGTTCGGTTCCTTTCGTGCATTTAGTGAAACACAAAAATGAGTCTCTCAAGAGCCCCTTGAGGGTAGTGCTGGCTTGTTCCTTTATGCTCCCTTGTGTACTTGATATTTCCCCAGGATGCCAGCAACCTTCCTGTCTTTTTATCTGTTACACCCATCACTGGGAACAGGGTCTGCCACTGTTCACCTAACAGCCTACAGAGACCAGGTACTGAAGAGGAAAATGCAATAGATTACTTTGTACAACCTGTTAGGATCAGTGCAACTCCGGGTTTATGACACTTTCAATACCCTCCCCTCGAGGATTCTGATCGAGTGACCCAGGTGGACACTGTGTGCTTTGAAATAACAGGACTCATATAAGCAGTGCTCTTTTGAAAGTTTAAAACTCAACTCTTAAAGTTATCAATTGCTATTAAATAAGTATCACTGGCAGTGCAGTGGGGAGAGTGAGAAGCCTACGCCGGCGGGCTACTTCCTGTCCCATCTGACAGCGCTGTGTGGCCGATGAAGGTCCCGTTCATATCTTTTTAGTCTGGGCCTAGACACACAGGGAGCAGGACCCAACCACCCCAACAGACCACCTTCTCTATCCTCCAATTCTAGTTTGAGGAGAAAAATATTACGTAACTCATGGTCAGAAACCTAAAAAGAAGAGTAGAGGTTTTAAATATGTAGAAAATATTTGGCTCTATTCTATCGCATCGAGCCTTGCTTTTCTTTTAGTTTTGCAGTCAGTCACCTTCTTTTGTATTATCTCATCAAGTATTTAAAAACCTTTATTACCTTCTTTATATATTCCCTTCTGAAAGTGATGACCATATGTATTAATAAAAGACACTTACTATGGTACTATATCTACATAATTTTGGAATTGCTATGATTCTTCCAACCTTTTCTTTTTCTCTTGTCCATTCTTATTTTTTTTATAGCAAAACATTTATTGGCACATTTTAGACACACATAATAACACTCATCATAGGGAATTCCTATCTGTACACAATACCTCCTGCCACTTTTTTCCCCATTCCCCCCTCCTCTCCCTAAGTACAAAAGCTTTGTTTCCATTTTTTCCTTCTATTTTCACTTTTTTTTGGTCCCTTCATTCTTTCTCCATCCCCCCTCCCTTGTTCCCCTTCCCACTTGAAAATTTTCTTCCCATTTCCCATACATTTTAGTTCTTATTTCCACTTTTGGTTTCTCACACGAGAAAAACAATGCTGTATTTAACATATGTGTCCGATTACTTAAAGAGTAATGCAAGGTGCATCCACTTACTTAAAAATGTCTCAACTGCACCCTTCTTTATGGCAGAGTAGTACTCCACAGTGTAGAAAAACTACATCTTTTTTATCCATTCATCAGTTGATGGGCATTTGGACTATTTCCAAGATTTAGCTATTACAAACTGTGCCACTATAAACATGGATGTGCATATATTGCTGTGGTAGGATGCTTTTAATTCTTTCGGGAAGATGCCAAGAAGGGGAGTGGCTGGGTTGAATGGAACCTCTAGTTTTAGTTTTTTGAGGAATCTCCATACTGATTTCCACAGTGGTTGTATCATCTGCACTCCCACTAACAATGGAGAAGGGTTCCTTTTTCCCCACAACCCTGTCAACATTTGTTATTGTTTGATTTCTTTGTAGCAGCCATTCTTTCTGGAGTAAGGTGGAATCTCAGTGTTGTTTTCATCGGCATCTCTCGAATGACCAGTGATGTTGAACATTTTTTTATACATTTATATTTGCTGTTTTTACTTATTCATCTGAGGAGTGTCATTTCACACGCCCATTTTTGAATTGGGTCTTTAAATTTGGCAGGGTCTTTTTTTATTTAAAGTACTTTATATATTCTAGATAGTAGTTCTTTGAGGAATAGCTGGCAAAAATTTTTACTCACATTGTGGATTGTCTCTTCACTTGGTGGTTTCTCTTGCTGTGCAAAAACTTGTTAATGAGATGAAGTTGCAGTTGATTCTTTGCAGTATTTCTCATGGGGTCTGGGTTTTGTTCATGAAGTCTCTGCCTACGCCTATGTCCTTAAGTAATCTGCCTATTCTCTCTTCCAGCAGATTCAGTGTTTCTGTTTTGATAGGTCTCTGATCCATTTTGATTCTAAGTTAGTGCAAGATGAAAGATATGGGTCTAGTTTCAGTTTTTGGCATGTGGAAAGATAGTTTTACCAGCACCATTTATTAAAGAGGCTATCTTTCTTTCAGTGAAGGTATCCGGTTCCTTTGTCAAAAATAAGGTGGCTGAATACATCTGGAGTTGTTTCTGCATCTTCTAGTATGTTCCACTGACCCTCAGGTATGTTGCTTTGCCAGTACCATACAGTTTTTATCACAGTAGCTTTGCAGCATGATTTCAGGTCTGGAATTGTGAGGTCTCCTGTCTTGCCTTTGTTGCCCTGAATTACCTCTGCTACTCTAGGTTTCTTCTGGTTTTAAACGAACTTTAGGATTTTTTTTCTAATTCTGTGAGATATGCTGTTGAAATTTTGATTGACATTGCATTAAGGTGCATTTTCTTTTTCTTTTTTTTGTACTGGGGATCGAACTTAGGACCTTGCATTTGCCAAGCAGGCGTGGTGCCACTGAGCTACATCCCTGGCTCTGTATAACAATTTTGGAAGTATGGCCATTTCACTTTATTGGTTCTTCCTATCCAAGAACAAGGGGTATCTTTCCATTTTTTGATATCCTCTCTGATCTCCTTTTTGAGAGTACTGTAGTTTTCCATGTAGAGGTCTTTTGGCTCCAATTTTAGTATATGTGCTACTGAAGCAAGCACGAGGTCTTTCAGATCCTTTGTTAATTTCTAGGTATTCTTTTATTTATTTTTTGGATGCTATTATGAAAGGTGTTGCTTCCTTAATTTCTCTCCCAGTGAGTTATTCATATACAGAAAGGCTACTGGTTTTTGAGTGTGGACTTTGTATCCAGCTACACTACTGAATTTAGTCATCAAATCTAGAGGGTTTTTGGTGGAGTTTTTGGGGTCCTCTACATAGAGTATGTCATGCCCAAATAATGACAATTTAACTTCTTCTTTTCCTATCCTTATTCTTTTTCTTTCTTTCTCTTGTCTAATTGCTCTGGCTAGTGTTGCCAGAACTAAATCGAGTAGGAGTGGTGACAGTGGACATGCTTGTTCCTGATTTTAGAGTGAGAGCTTTCAGTTTTTATCCATTTAGTATGATGTTGGCTGTTGGATTATGGTAGATAGCTTTTATCAGACTGAGATAAAGACCATCTATATCAATTTTCTGTAGAGTTTTTAGCATGAATGGGTGTTGGAATTTGTCAAACCTTTTTTTCTCCATCTATTGAGAGGATCATATGGCTTTTGTCATTGGCTCTGTTAATATAGTGTATTACATTTATTGATTTGCATATGTTGAACCATTCCTGTATCCCTGAGATGCATCCCACTTGGTCATGGTGTATAACCGTCTTGTTGATATGCTGCATTTTATTTGCCAGTATCTTACTGAGGATTTCTACATCTGTGTTCATTAGGTAGATTGGCCTGTAATTCTCTTTAGTGATTGGATCCTTCTCTGGTTTTGGAATCAGGGTGATGCTTGCTTACAGGAATGAATTGGGGAGTATTGCTTCCCTTTCAATTTCATTAAAGGCCTTGAAAGTAGTGGCATTAGGTAGGTCATCTCTAAATTTCTTGCAGAATTCAGCAATGAATCCATAAGGGCCTAGGCTTTTTTTTTGTTAGGTTTTTAACTACATCTCCAATTTCATTGTCTGATATTGGTATATTTAGAATTTTTATATCTTCTTGATTCAGCTTTGGCAATTTATATGTATCTAGGAATCTGTCCATTTTCCATGTTATTAGAATACAGATTCGTGAAGTAGGTAAAGATCTTCCGGATTTCTGCAGGATCTGCTGTGATTTTTTTTTTTTTTTTTTTGGGGTT